GCTGGCGAGCAGCTCAAAGTTTGTTTGCCGAGTTTGAAAAAACAACTGCCGGTTTCCGTTAGTCATCAATCATTGGCCGTTTGGTTGCAAGTCCTGATAGCATACGCGTTCAACGGCTTGATGTCAGCAGCAGCTTCACCGCTGGCCTCCAGTGGCCGAACATCAGTGATTCATTCTGGATATTCGCTACCGAATCTATGCCTCATGCGGCCATCATACGGCCTCATTTTCAAAGCGTATAAAAATCGCTACCTTATCTGTTTAGACAAATTCACAGCTTCATTCTTCTAACGTCATTCGGTGTTACTCCCATTGCATTTAATCACCCAATAAAGACGATATGGATGAAGGATATCTAGTTTGTTGAATATCAGAAAGTTTATGTAATTTTTATGCAAAGTTGGCAGGTTTATAATTCATCTTTTCTGCCCTTGCGAGAGGTCAATATGGACAGCAGTTTTATCCCCTGAACACTTAAAATTAGAAAAATCCTTTTCGGATATCCCACTTCGACATTATCATGTACATATTTTCCAACGTTTTGGATCACGTACATTCCGTCTTGAGGGAAAAACATAAGATACAACAAAATTAAAAAGGCTTTATATTATGTATCTCCCTGAATCATAATTGAGAATAATCCGAAACTTTGCTAAATATGCATGTAATCGACGCGATGTAAGGTGCGTTTCTAAGTTAGAACTGAATTTTGTTTAAAAGATTTAACTTCGGTTTTCAAAGATGTCTGAATATTTAATCAGAAACATGATTTCTGAATAAGAGTAATTTTTAGAAAGATTATGGCAAAAAACAATAGATTATGAGGAATGGATATGAAAAAACAGAAAAGAATGACTTTTTATACTAAAGGACAAAAAAATATTTGGCCATTCTCGACTTGAATGAAAATGATGTTTCGACAACGATAAGCAACTTTCTGAGCGGCATTAGTCGGCAGGACCATGAACACATGGATCTACTAAAATGATGCATTAAACAAAAACAAATTCCCTTTACACGGAAAAGCTTGCAAAAAGCAGCACGCATTTAAAAACAAACAGTTCTTCTATAAAACAGTGAATTACAAGGACATCAAGTAGACCTAGAGAAAAATACACAATGATAAAGCTTCTTTAAAGAGTGCCTACTGTCTCTCTAGGAACTGTATGCTTTTTAAACGAAGTTTTCGAAAATCCAGAGCAAGATTCCCAACCACCTTGTATTTCATGGCGACGAGAAGCTTATGGATTAAGCGAAACATTGCTTAGCTGTCCTCCCATTTTTTCCATGACGAGCTCCACTTCGGTGCCAGGCTCATGGACTGTTCTTAATGAGTTTTGAGCGTTTTAGGATTTAGTGCAAGGTTATAGGAGCAGTGTGACGAGTTTCTAATGACAGACATGAGTCAAAGACTCATACGACTATTGATAATATGATCATGCAAACGAGGAAGCCATGCCTGACTGATATTGAATGTTTCTTTCTGACCATCAACTTTGGTTTTGTCCATTCGACTGAGATTGTTCAAGGATCTTTTGTTTCGTCATTTGGCTTCCTTGCGGAAGAGCGAATCTTGCATTCTATCGTATGGCATGGTTCTTTGGCATGCTGCGCTTCGCAACCGCAGAGCCTTTCGCATATGCTATGCTGCATTATCCGTTGATCATAATCTAAGCTTAACGCCACTTTTTTTCGAGACAGGCACGACGAAGCACCGCATCCTTTGACTGATGTGGATTCAGCTTAAGACAGACAATGTTATCCCAACTGCAGACATACTGGATGTATTCAACTCCTCTGGACCTTTGTAATTTTAAACGCACTTGACTACAGATCCATGATCAGCATATCGTATACAGGTAGTTTCCTGTTAAATTCTGCATTTCTTGGTAGAGAAAGTGAACAACGCACATGATGACACTGATCCTTGCGCCAATTCAAGCAAACACGCTTCTCAGCTGGATCCGTATATCGCTGGTCGATGCATCGTGTAATCTCGCTAAAATTTGCAGTTAGAATTGTGATGGGAATGAGAAGAGAATTGATTCCAATATCCATCAAACTGTGTGGCAAATTATCTTGTGGAATCCTGTTGTACGCCGAGCTGAAGATCATAAACACCAATCATACGTGTTGGTAATAAGGTTTATTTGGGTTGCCAGAGGGTCAACCCTGTCTGAACCTGTAGTAAAACCAAATCGCAAGGGTAACCATACATGCATTATCATCGTATTGAATAATGGAGGGGAAAAGGTCTCTCCTTGACGCAATCCACTGTTAGTGTTAAACCAGTTCGACAACGATTCTTCTACTCAATGGCGCTTTAGTACAATTGTGGAATCCTTTTGGCAGACCGATGATCTTCTGCATTTCTCCGTAATGTCGCAGTATGGACTACAATGACTGACGGGTACCGAATCGAAAGCTGATCGGAAGCCGAGGAATGCTGCATTCCAGAGTTGTTGGAAACTTTTTCCCTATTCTATAATCATCTTTAATACGGCGATGATATCCGTACACGATAGAGAGTCTAGCTCGGAATCCTGCTAGATTTGATCTAACCGAATCGTCATCGTTCTCCAGTTTTCGAGGGGGATTCGCGCGCATGCCTTTTTCAGCACACGCAGAAGTGTGATCCAGCGGTAGTTGACGCAGTCAGAACGGTCCTTCGGTCTGAATATGGGAGGTATCATGCCCTGCTTCTAGTTTTCAGAGATTTTCGACTTCCGTGAGATGCCGGATGAATAGAATCAAGTTCAGTAGGGTTTCGCCTGCGTATTTCAGAATTAATTCCCGCACTAATCCCGTCGGTCCCGCAGAATTTCGAATATCGAACAGATTTCAGTAGAGACGTATGGCATCTCGGATTTCATCTTTCGATGGAACAGAGTAGTCGATTTCCAGTTCTGCCCGGTCTTCGAACCTTATCTCCGGGTCATCCAATGAAGCAGGCAGGCTCAGAAGCTCTTTGAAGCGTTCAACCCACCTCCTCCGACGGTTGCCTGAATCTGGAAGGGGCTTTGCGAATCAAAAATGTTAGGAGCTTATGTTTGCCGCCATTTTTGATTATGTTGACTTGTCTGTACAGCGTCTATTTCATCTTCAAAGCCGCCTGTTCCAGATTCTGTGCTTTTAGTTCCATCCGGTGCCGACTGTCACAGCGATAACTCCCATTGACTGCTTTAACGGGATTCTTCGTTTCTTCAGGATTTTATAAGAACTCCTGTTCTGCCGCGTTTCTTCTTTGGCAAGGAGTGACGACTTCTGCCGAGACTCAGGGGTGCTTCGCCT